TTTTTTCATGGCTGCACAATTTTGTTGTACTAAGATTCCTCTATTTTTATCTAATTATGGTCTTCTGATGAACATTTAGGTTTTCTAGCCTTTTGTTACTAATAACATTGCAACAAATAGTCTTATAAATAGATCTTTGTGAATGTGTGTTACTTTAGGACAAATTTCTGTAAATGAAATTGCTGAGTCAAAGAGTAAGTACATTTAACATTCTAATCAGAATTGTCAACTTGACTAAGAGTTTATAGCAATTTACACTCTTGCCATCAATTTATTATAGCCCTCATAACCTTTCTAGCTTAATACTGCATCAAAACTGTTGATTTTTTAGTCTGAAAAGTAAAAAATAGTATTACATTGTGGGTATTAGAACTTTGAAGTGTACTTTTTTTCACTGAAAAGTCATGTGTATTTCTTCTGTAATGTTGTGGTTCCTTTCCTTTGCCTATTTTTCTGTTGTATTTTCCTGACTCGTATAAGAGATCTACATAAAAGAATTTATTCTTAGTCATCGGTTCAAAAATGCTAAATTCTTTTTCCCTGTTTCTATTTTGACCACATTTACAGAATGTTCAGAAATTTTAGTTCTTATGAATCACATTTACTAATCTTTTCTTTTTTAAGATGGGGTTTTACCATGTTGGTCAGGCTAGTCTTGAACTCCCGACCTCAAGTGATCTGCCCACCTTGGCCTCCAAAGTGTTTGGATTACAGGCATGAGCCACCACGCCCGGCCTACTAATCTTTTCTACTGCGGTTTCTGGATTTTTGCATTGTAATGTTATTAATTTCCCCAAACATGTTTATCTGCACCCATCACCAGTATGGATATAGTTTTGAACTGTGTGGTGCTCAACTACCAATCACAATAGTTCAAATAAGGAATTGCTTACAAAGGTTTTGTCATAACATGTGGAGGCTGACAACTGAGTAAAAAAGCTTAGGTTTTCAAGTTGTCTTTTTTTTTTTTTTTTTTTTTGAGACGTCTTGCTGTCACCCAGGCTGGAGTACAGTGGCCATGATCTTGGCTCACTGCAACCTCTGCCTCCCAGGCTCAAGTGATTCTGCTGCCTCAGCCATCCTAGTAGCCGGGATTACAGGTGCACACCATGATGCCTAGCTAAATTTTTATATTTTTAGCAGAGACAGGTTTTTGCCATGTCGGCCAGGCTGGTCTTGAAATCCTGACTTCAGGTGATCTGCCCATCTTGGCCTCCCAAAGTGCTGCGATTACAGGTGTGAGCCATCGCACCCGGCCTCAGGTTGTCTTATGTATGGATCTTATTGCAATATAATAAATGATAATCTACACTTAAATTGACTGAACAACTTCACTGAGAAGCAGTTGTATCTTTAGGTTAAATAGAAACTAGATAAAAGTACTACATAACAAATTGAGGGCAACAGACATCTCCAACTGATTTTCTCATTTGGAAGAAAACATAAACTTTATTTCTTTTAAAGTACAGGCCTTCTCAATTAAAAAATTTAAAAGTTCTTCTACAGCAAATGTTTAAACTGAAAGCTAAAGGATAAGAAGTAGATAGGCAAAGGAGGTCACTTGGGATTTGAAAGGCAACTAGTGGCAGAAGCATAAATCCTCTGAGTCTAAGCTGGGCGTGGTGGCTCAGGCCTGTAATCCAAGCTCTTGGGGTGAGGCAAGAGGATCATTTGAGGCCAGGAGTTCGAGACCAGCCTAGGCAACGTAATTGAGGCTCCCCCCCTCACCCCGCGGTCTCTACAAAAAATAAAAATAAATTAGCCAAGCATGGTTGCATGCATCTGTAGTTCTGGCTACTCTAGAGGCTAACTGGGAAGACTGCTTGAGCCCTCAAAAATCTTGAGCTATTGAACTCAAGACTGCTTGAGCCCTTAGGAGTTCAAAGTTGCAGTGAGCTATGATCATGACACTGCAGTCCAGCCTGAGTGACAGAGACCATCTCAAAAAAAGAAAAAAAATTCTCTGATTCTGAATGCCCATTTCTAAATGGGAAGGTGGGGGGAATTGATTTCCTCCCATACCTTTTTCCCCCCTATTTTTTCAAAGTAAATTTTTCTTCCCAAAAAGGTTTCAATGGGCGGGTGCAGTGGCTCACGCCTGTAATCCCAGGACTTTGGGAGGGCAAGGAGGATGGATCACAAGGTCAGGAGTTCAAGACCAGCCTGACCCACATGTTGAAACTCTGCCTCTACTAAAAATACAAAAATTAGCCGGGTGTGGTGGTACACGCCTATAATCCCAGCTACTCAGGGGACTGAGGCAGAAGAATCACCTGAACCCAGGAGGCAGAGGTTGCAGTGGGCCAAGATCACACCACTGCACTACAGCCTAGACAGCAGAGCGAGACTCTGTTCTCCAAAAAAAAAGGTTTAAATATCCTAAAATTACTTTTGCACCAACTAATACTATAGGCAAGCAACCACAACTTATTATAAGAGAGTAAAAGTTATTGTCTTTGGCCACAGAATTCTATTATTAAAATAAACATTTCTTACTGTGATGCAAAAGGACTTACTTTTAGAAAACACATCTATCTTGCATAAATTCCATATGTTTCACATTTTAAAAGATTTATCTAAGTCTAATGTCAAGCTTATTTTTAGGTAGGATTGTGCTGTTGACTTTCCTGTTCAAAACTAAAGTTGGAGGTGTTTCAAAGAGTAACTTTATTCTGCTTGCCTGTGGCTGTTTGTACCATAGAAAGCAAATTTGCCAGGTGTAGTGTCTCATGCCTGTAATCCTAGCACTTTGGGAAGCCAAGACAGGGGGATCACTTGAAGCCAGGAGTTTTAAGACCACCCAGGGCTACAAAGCAAGACCCCATCTCTACAAAAAATTAAAAAATTAGCCTGGCAGCTGGGCATAGTGGCTCACGCCTGTAATCCCAGCACTTTGGGAGGTCAAGGTTAATGGATCACCTAAGGTCAGGAGTTCAAGACCAGCCTGGCCAACATGGTGAAACCCCGTCTCTACTGAAAATTCAAAAATTAGCTGGGCATGGTAGTGGGTGCTTATAGCCCAGCTACTTGGGAGGCTGAGGCAGGAGAACTGCTTGAACCCAGGAAGTGGAGGTTGCAGTGAGCTGAGACTAGGCCATTTCACCCAGCCTGGGCAAAAAGAGTGAAACTCCATCCCCCCAAAAAAAAAAAAAAAAAAAAAAAAAATTAGCCCGGCGTGTTAGCACACACCTAGTACTTGGCTGCTTGGGAGGCTGTAGTGGGAGGGTCACCTGAGCCCAGGAATTCCAGGCTGCAGTGAGCTAACTGTGCCAGTGTACTCCAGCCTGGGTGACAGAGTGAGACCCAAGGGCAGCAGTAGATTAGAAAATTTGGCATTTCTTCTATACTGGCCCATCTTTGTCAAATATGTAGCCTACTTATGAAGAAGACAGTATTAGAATTGAAATCAGTATTAAAATTAATTAAAAGACCAACCTTATAAATCAGAACCTAAAAACACTGGGCCACAAACACAAGTATTACCTTGAAATTTCTTCTTTATAAACACATATTCCAAAGAAGGAAACATAAAATGTTTCAGGGAAAAGGTTCAGATACCAATTTAACAATGTGACCTATTTTCAATATACACAGGTTAAATTTTTTTTTTTGAGACAAGAGTTTTACTCTTGTGGCCCAGGCCAGAGTACAATGGGGTGATCTTGGCTCACCACAACCACTGCCTCCCTGGTTCAAGCGATTCTCCTGCCTCAGCCGCCCGAGTAGTTGGGACTACAGGCATGTGCCACCATGCCCAGCTAATTTTGTATTTTTAGTAGAGACATAGTTTCTCTATGTTGGTCAGGCTGGTCTCGAACTTCTGACCTCAGGTGATCTGCCTGCCTTGGCCTCCCAAAGTCCTGGGATTACAGGTATGAGCCCCCACATCCAGCCAGTTTTTTTCTTTAGTGATTGTATTGGATAATAGTACTGGGATTACAGGTATGAGCCCCCACATCCGGCCGGTTTTTTTCTTTAGTGATTGTATTGGATAATAGTACTATAATAAATAAGTTAAATATTAGAAATATCATAAACTAAACAAAGATAATTTCTGACCATCTATAACTTTTGTTTTTTGTCTTAGGTCCAGGAACATCTGTAACTTTTTCTAGTTGGCATTGTTTTGATTGCCTAAGAGTACTTAATGGAAGCCTGCTGTTCCAAATGAAACAGTATTTCAAAGATGAATTTCACTTAAAAGTTTTAATAATAAAAGTGATTCATAAAAGTTGACTAGGCTGGGCACAGTGGCTCACGCCTGTAATCCCAGCACTTTGGGAGGCTGAGGAGGGCAGATCCTTTGAGTCCAGGAGTTCTAGATCAGCCTGGGTAATGTGGTAAAACTGTCTCTACAAAGAATACAAAAAATTTGCCAGGTGTGCTGGTGCATGCCTGTGTTCCCAGCTATTTGAGAGGCTGAGGTGCAAGGATCACCTGAGCCTGGGATGAGGATACTGCAGTGACTGAGCCAAGATCGTGCCACTGCACTCCACCTGGGTGACAGAGTGAAACCCTGTCTAAAAAAAAGAAAAAAGAAAAAAAAAGTTGATTAATGATTTCTCTGACCTTTTTTATCAGCTTTAAAAATATCTAGGCTGGGTGCGGTGGCTCACACCTGTAATCCCAGCACTTTGGGAGGCTATGGCGGGTGGATCACTTGAGGTCAGGAGTTCGAGACCAGCCTGACCAACATGGTGAAATCATATCTCTATTAAAATTTAAAAAAAAAAAAACCTAAGGGCTACTTATGTAACCCAGTTTGTCAATGATTAGCTCTGTAATCTGAGGGCAAATACCTATCCTGAGATTTATCTCTGAAATAAATCACAAAATTTGTAAGCTTACTTCCAACTCTAAAATTTCATGACTATTTGTATTTTACTAAATACATGCTACTTGATTTCTTTGCATTGTAGCTACCTAAATCAGGAAAGATGCATAGTAAATAAAATGCCTTAGACCCACTGAGAAGCAGGAAAGAAACACACACACATACATATTTTAGGAATATATATTTTTAAAAGGATTCAATAATTTTTTTTTTTTGACAGAGTTTCACTCTTGTTGCCTGGGCTGGAGCGCAATGCAACCTCTGCCTCCCATTTTCTTTCCTTTTTTTTTTGTCTGTCAATGTACATTTTATATTTAAAAATCCAAAACAACAATGGGGTGATAACAGGAAGCCACTACACAAGTGGCCAAGAGTTCAGATCCTTGGAGGCCATCTTTGGAGACTTACTGGGCTCGCATTCTGGCAGCAGCACAGACCTCGTGGACATGGGGCGCCCTCTGCACACCTGAGCTTTCACCCACACCCACCTGAGCTGCGGCGAGAACTGAGGGGCACACGTAAAGCAGTCAGCCTGCTTGGCGCTTGTTAAAGGAGAGCTCTGAGGAACACAGCACACAGGCCTGAGGCAGCTTTACCCATGCTTTTTTAACTTACATGATTTTTAAAAATTGGCCTTGTCTGATTTAAGACTAAAAAACCTCAGCTTGCAGGTCAGGCCTGCCTGAATGCCACCCAGACTGCACGTGAATGCCGTCAAGCACTCTCAGGCCCTGTGTTTCACACGGATCTGGTGGGGCCTGTAACCGCCTTCTGAGAGGAGGAAATAAAGGAATTTCTAGCAAATGAATATGACGTGTCCAGTATTCTCTCTGTGGCTACAATAACTGTCAACACTCACCCAGGAGGACTGTGTGGCAAGGTTTAATTGCAATGGCATCTGAAAACATGCATGGCATTGTGCATCAGCTATCATCAGTGCCTTTATTGCCACTGCGTTTGTGACTGTTGATACAACCTCAGGAGCAACAGGTGGGTTAAAAAACTGTGGCTGAGCAGTTCTTCCGAGGACAGGGACCCTGTGCGGAGCAAGGAAGACTCAGAACCTGATGAACATGGCATCAATCTGCTGCACGGAGGGGAGGGCAAGCATGACCTTTCTATGGTACTGGGGGTCCTTCTGCAGGGGGTTCTGCTCCAGGCACACTGTCTCCAGGCTCCCTTCAGCTCTGTTAGATGGCTGACGTTTTCAATCTTTTTGATTCTATTTGATGCAATGTCCAACATGATGAGTTTGTTATTGTTCTCCAGGCCCTCGATGACCTCAATGCCGTTGTGGCTGAGGTACAGCTCCTACAGGTTCACCAGGTTCTGCAGACCCTCGATCTTGGTCAGCTGGTTGCTGTGCATGCTGAGGACCGTCAGGTTAGTGAGCGCATCCAGGTTCTGAAGTTTAGTAATTTTGCTTTTCCCCAAAAACAAACTCTCCAGATTGGTTAACGTGTTAATATTTTCGATTGCCCGGATGCAGTTAGATCCCAGCTCTAGCATCTGTAGTTGATGTAAGTTGCTTAAGTTCTCAATTTTACTGATTTTATTGTTGACCAAGAAGAGTTTTTTCAGTTGTGTCAACTTATCAACCCCTTCGATGTTTCTCAGCAGATTAAAATAAATAGCTAGAATCTCCAGCTCTGTTAGCGCCTCTAGATTCTCAGTCTCCTTGATCTGGTCGTTGTAAAGATCCAGCTCTCGAAGACTCTGTAGCTCCTCCAGATTCTCAATGCATTTAATTAAATTTTGGCAGAGGCAGAGAGTCTTCACTTTCTTCAGTATCTCAAATCCTTCAGTCTTCCCAATGTGATAGTGATTCAAATCAACATCCTCTGCATCTCTGTTCAGGTTGATGGTTTTCATAGGTTCACATAGGCAGCTCGTGTTCTTCTTCTGGGTCCTCCTCCCCATCCTTCAGGCTCTGTTCACTGAGGTCAGCCACGATGCCACTGCTGTGCTTCTTCCCTTCTTCATCACCAGATTCTTCAGACTCGACCCGCCTGTTAACCTTTTTGATCTGGAGACGGAGGAAACCCCTCCACCTCCCATTTTCAAGTGATTCTCTTGCCTCATCCTCCCAAGTAGCTGGGATTACAGACATGCACCACCACACCTAGCTAATTTTTTGTTTAGGAGAGACAGGGTTTCACTGTTGGTCAGACTGGTCTTGAACTCTTGACCTCTGGTGATCTATCTGCCTTGGCCTCCCAAAGTGCTGGATTATAGGTGTACGGCACCAGGCCTGGCTAAATAACCATTTAAAAGCAAAATCAAAATTAGCCTGGCTAAATAATCTTTTTAAAGCAAAATCAAAGTATGGCTACAGGAGAGGAAATATCTAAATTGTAGTCAACACAGATTGCTTACTTAAGGCCTTATATTTGTACCTGTGTCCATACCATATCACAGCACAAAAACATAACCCACCCCATCTGGCTCTCTTAAGGTACATAATACATCAGATTAATGCACATTCATTAAGTGGCATCATATCTGTATACTGGACAGATATGGGTGTGAATTCAGGGTTTCCTTGGGTCTCTTTCAAGGACTCTCCTCTTCAGTATTTCTATTTCCTCATTTTCCTTCTATTTATGAAGAACTGTTATTTTTACATTTAATGCCCAATTTTCACCACTTGTTCATGTTAGTTCTCTGAAATGTTACTGCCTATGAACCGTGACATGCACTCGTTGTAACAGAAGCAGAAGTTAAAAGATGTAGACATCACACAATTCAATGGTCATTTTAAAAATAGAAAACAATGATAAAAATTCAGTTGCCAACTTAAGAGGATTTTATACATTATGTTCTATTTTTCATGGTCTGAAATTATTTCTCAAGAAAATGGATTTTATTTCCAAACCTTTACTATCTTTGCTAGAAAGAGAAAAACTAGTTTTCTCTTTGACAAAATTGTCCCAGGAGAAGAACACAAACACTTTTCCAAATTAGAGCATAAGTCTTCCTTAAATGTCCCAGTGTGACAATTAGGATAGAATAGCAGTCTTTTAAATATCATAAAGGCTATTGTTAAGATGGTGGTTTTGGCCGTTTTGCAGATGGTCCATCGAAGTTAGTTACGTTATCAATGTTATTTTCATCTTCTGCATCATCTTCATCATCACCTTTTAAAATAAATATTTGTTGTATGACAATATGTTCTGTGGTTGAAAGAAATATATATAGCTAAAGTGGTTGAGAGTAAAACCATTTCACTTTAGGAACTAATAAAACCATGCACATTTTAGATTAAAATGATTTTGAGAATTTCAGTGTTTAAAATCTTTATTGTCTATCACTTTCCTTTTTGGAGATATCAATTCATTCATAATAAAATCCACTCTTTTAATGTGTACAGCTTAGTGGTTTTTAGTATATTCACTAGCCTGTGCAACCATCACCACTATCTAATTCTAGAACACTTTCATCACTCCAAAAATAAATGATATGCCCATTAGCAGTCACTTTCCATTCCCCTCAGCCTTTGGCAACCACTAACCTACCTTTTTTCCCCTTAATTTTTATTAGAGACAGGGTCTTGCTATGCTGCCCAGGCTAGACTCAAACTCCCAGTTCAAGTGATCCTCCTGCCTCAGCCTCTAGAGTAGTTGGGACTACAGGTGCCCACCACTGCACTCGGCTCACTAATCTACTTATCTCTATGGATTTGCCCCTTCTGTACATTTATAAACAAAATCATATAACATGTACCCTTTGCATCTGGTTTTCACTTAGCATAATGTTTTCAAGGTTCATTCATGTTGTAGCATATATCAATACATCATTACATGTTATTGCTAGTAATATTCCATTGTAGGGACAGATCACATTTTGTTAATGCACTTCCACCTCCTAAAGGTGCAATGCCAAGCCCAGCCAATTGTTGTTTCCACATTGTAGCCACTATAAATAATGCTGCTATGAATATTCATGTGTAAGTTTTTGTGTGAACATGTTTCCAGTTCTCTTGAGAGGGCTACCAGTGGAACTGCTGGGTCATGTGGTAACTTCAGGTCAACTTTTTGAGGAGCTACCGAACTCTATTTCCCAGTGGTTATACCATTTTACATTTCCACCAACAATGTACAAGGTCTCCAATTTCTTCACATTCCAGCCAACACTTCTTGTTCTTTTTGAGTATAGCCAACATCCATATTACCAAGATGTTAATTCCCAAGATGGAAGGAAAGTAGTTTAGGCTTTTCTTAAAGAATTGTAAATCCTGACTCCAATATCTAGTTTTTGGGTTTTTCAGTTCAGGACAGTCCAAATGAATCTGTCTAGTTTTGCATTCAAGACAGTTTAAAAACACTAATGCAGTTAAACTTCATGTTTCTACTTTCAAACTGCACCTACAAAACCGGAATATAGCAAGAGAGTCCCTGGGAGTCAATACGTGTTAATATTAAGTCTGTCTCAATCTTTGGAACCTGTTCCTACTCTGCGATAGACTGCACTGCACTCTTCCAAACATAGTTTAACACCTGGTAAAACTTTCTATTTTCTTCAACACCCAGCTCAAAAGTCTTGTCATCTCTGAAGCCTTCCTGGGGTCTCTGGGTTTGCAATAGTTACAGAGGGCCACAGAATCACTTTCACTCTTAATAGAGTGTCTGCCTGTCTAATCCCCTTGTGTTTAACGAGGGTAGGAACTCAGCCACATTCACCTCATTCTTCCTCCAGGGCTCAGCTCAGGGTTTGGCACATAATAGTAGGCATTTGGCACTATTTCTTTTTTTGTGATATAAATCAAAAAGTGGTAAGAGTCGTGGAAATGCTTGAGTAGAAGCAATCCAGATAAATATGTTGAAAATGCCAACAATTTTTATCTTTTAAATTTATTCTTAAAATAATAATATAAATGGGGTCTCGATATGTTGCCCAGGCTGTTCTAGAACTCCTGACCTCAAGTGATCCTCCTGCCTCGGCCTCTCAAAGTGTTAGGATTACAGGCGTAAGCCACCTGCCCCGACCCACCAAAAATTTTTAGATGCAATTCTTCTTTCCTCGAGGCTCACTTTGTCCAAGTCTGTCACTCTACACAGGCTCCCCAAGCCGATTTCCCCTGGGCGCCCGCCCCGCCCTCCTGTCGTTGCAGCACAGTCTCAGAGCTCACCGTCCAAGGCCTCGTCTGGAGCCGCCGCCACCCGGTGCTGCACCTCCCCCTGTACCAGGGGGCCGAATAATTCCGTTACTAGCTCCTTCATCTGGGCCACGCCAGACAACAGGCCCTGAAAAGGGTCGCCGCCACCCGGCTCCTCACACGACACCCGCAACTTCTGCGACTTCCCTTCCTGCCAGACGTACTCTCCCAGCAACTCCATGGCGACCGCTAAGCTTAAAGAACGCGACACGGGAAAGCGCCAGCCGGAGGCGGAAATCAGCCCCCGACCGGCGCAGGCGGGAGAAGGGAGAGGAGTGACTTCCGTTTGTCGGAGGTCGCTCCTCCTCCTTTCTTCGCTTTTTTTCTTTGTCATTGGTTTCTGGCGCTCGGGCCCCGCCTCCTCCGGCTACGCCCCTCGCGGCCGCTTTTCCCGCCTCCGCCGTGGCCGAGCCGCTGTTCGGGTGACAGTTGAGGATGGCCGGGGCTGAGGGCGCCGCTGGGCGGCAGTCGGAGCTGGAGCCCGTCGTATCGTTGGTCGACGTCCTTGAGGAGGACGAGGAGCTGGAGAATGAGGCGTGCGCTGTCCTGGGCGGCAGCGACTCTGAGAAATGCTCCTACTCGCAGGTGGGCGTGCGGCCCGGGCCTCGTCTCACCCCGCTCCCGCCGAACCTCCCCTTCGCGGCTGGGCTGTCCCTATTCCCGCCTGCCACGGTCGTTTCCTCAGTGGTGGTCCGGGGCCGCCGTTCGTCTGCCGCTTCCTCACCCCAAGCCCACTCTGCCCTTTTAGCTCCAACCTCCTGGGCCCCCTTCAGCCTGTGTCCAGCAGGGGCCCCCCTCTCCCCTCTCTAACTCCGTCCGGCCCGCCTGGTTGGGTCCTTGAGCCGCTGTCCCTCCTCTCCAGCTTCTTCTTGGTGCCCCACTGCTTTTCACGAAACCACCCCGTGACCTCTCAGTCACAGACATCTTTGTTTTTGCTCTTCCCATCCTAATATTTATTTATTTATTAGGGAACTGAATGGGAGAGTCAGGTTAAAGAGATTTTCAAATCCATAAGGATTTGCGGTGAGCTCCTTGACAGCTTGTTCCTCTGCAATTTAGTTTGACAAGTGCTAGCTAGTACTTTTTCTTTTTTTCTTTTTTGGCAAAATGAAGCAAGTACCCATGTCTATTTGCAGTCCGCTCCCTCCCCTGGAAATAGACCGGAAACAGAACAGCAAGCGACTCTGGCAAGGGAGGGGAGAGAGGAGAAAAGGATCTGTTTGGCATTTGGAAGACGTTGTGAGTGAGCAAGTATTTGAGGGGGTGTGACGTGGTGTTTAGTGACTCACCCTATACTTCAAGGTACAAAAATGGAAAAGGATGGGTAGGAAGAAAACTGACAAAAGGATGAGAATTGGTAGGAAGAAGTGTTACCTAGGCAGAGGGGTGAACTGGAACACTGGAGAGATGAGGGGAGAGACTTGCATTCATTATGTGGTATGAACTGAGATCATAATAACCAGTTGTCATTGTTGACTGCAAAGTGTTGAATAAACCTGATATCCACACATAGCCCCAGGTATTTTAAAGTCTTTGCTCACCACTAAAACCATTTTTCCTCTGCTTTCCTTAAAAAAAGGGGAAAAAAGTTCTAAATCTACATGTAAACTATTTTTGAAGTGTAGTTACCTTTATAAAATGGATTTCCTTAATATTTTCTTTTTCTTGTGGTTTAAAAATACGGAAATTTGCACAAATCATGTACACAACTTGAAAGCGTGCATGTTCTCACCACCCAGTTCAACAACTAGAACATTAGGAGTGCAAAAGGCTTATTGGAATAGAACTTTAAAAAAAGAAAAGAAATAGAACCTTACTGGCATCCCAGAAGCCTCCTTGTCTGTCTTCTTCCTTCCCTAGAGGAAGGTGACACTGTTAAGATTTATGAAAGTTTTGCCTATTTTTCTTTAAGCTTTTTATTTTTAAGCTTTTTTGTTTGTTTGTTTGTTTTTTTAACATTGTTAAGATTTATGAAAGTTTTGCTTTTTTTTGAGACCGAGTTTTGCTCTAGTTGCCCAGGCTGGTGTGCAATGGCGCGATCTCAGCTGACCGCAACCTCCGCCTCCTGGGTTCAAGCAGTTCTTCTGCCTCAGCCTCCTGAGTAGCTGGGATTACAGACATGCGCCACCATGCCCAGCTAATTTTTTGTATTTTTAGTAGAGACAGGGTTTCTTCATGTTGGTCAGGCTGGTCTTGAACTCCCAACCTCAGGTGATCTGCCCACCTCGGTCTCCCAAAGTACTTGGATTACAGGCCTGAGCGACCCCACCTGGCCTGAAGCATTTTTAATCTACAGATAAATTGAAATAATAATATTATGAACACTTGTATACCTTTTATTCATATTCATTATTTTTTTTTTTTTTGAGATTAAAATTTCACTGTTGTCACCCAGGCTGGAGTATAATGGGGCAATCTTGGCTCACTGCAACCTCCACCTCATGGGGTTTAAGCGATTCTCCTGTCTCAAGACTCCCGAGAAGCTGGGATTACAGGCGCCCACCACCATGCCCAGCTAATTTTTGTATTTTTAGTAGAGAGGAGATTTCACCACGTTGACTAGACTGGTCTTAAACTCCTGACCTTAGGTGATTTCCCCCCTTCCCCCACCCCCCCCAGCCTCCCAAGGTGCTAGGATTATAGGCGTGAGCCACTGCACTCGGCATACATATTCACTTTTAACATTTTGTCACATTTTTAAATCTCCTTTTCTATTTACAATTTGTTGTTTTAAATTTTTGAACTATTTAAAAATAAGTTGCACACCTGATGACTCTATATCTCTAAATAAGCATGCATCTCCTAAAAATCAAAGGGATTCTTTGCATGTGTTGATTATCTCTTTGGTAGATTTACAAACATTTTCCAGGATGAAAGTATGATATTATATAAACCTATACATATGCTCCTATGTTTTCGTATGTTAAAATGATTAAACAGATTGGTTTATTCACAGCTGGCTGACAAATTCAGACTTCCTATCACTTTAAGAAATGTTGGTTTGCATTGTGGCTAATGCTTGTAATCCCAGCACTTTGGAAGGCGAAGGTGGAGAATTGCTTGAGCCCAGGAGTTTGAAATCAGCCTGGGAAACATAGCAAGGCCTCATCTCTGCAAAAAATAAATTAGAAAGAAAGAAAAAAGTGCTTGCATGAGAAAATCACTAGTATAGATGTGAAATGTGCAACTGTGTTTTGGTCGATGCTCTGGGTTGTAAACTTCTTAGTCTTAATGGTTTTTACAGAATGATCTTGACCAGACATAATCTGATTTTAATTATTTTTCAGTTCCTAGTGTGAGTATTATGTAAACCATGCTATTACATTAATTCTCTTTTCCATTTTTGGTCTGTCTTTTAGGGCTCAGTAAAGAGACAAGCACTATATGCCTGTAGTACCTGCACCCCAGAGGGAGAAGAACCAGCAGGAATTTGTTTAGCTTGCAGTTATGAATGTCATGGAAGTCACAAACTATTTGAGCTATACACAAAAAGGTAAACATAGTCAGAGGTTGTTATTAAATACTTTCTAAATGTATGCATTCTTTTCCATCTACACTTTTTTCCTAATCTTGTTTTTTCATGCAAAGCAGTTGTACACTACTTTAGTAGTGAAATTTATTATAATTATTTTATATAATATAATTGGAAAGAGTTGTTTCTAGAGCCTTTAAAAACATAATATGGTACAAACTCAAACTAATCATCTTTCTCTGCCATCGTTTTACTTGTGTGTGTTTGTGTGTATATGATATAAATATTTGCTTTTGTGTATATTAATTTCCAGAATTGTAGTCTTATTATATGCTTGAATGCTTGAAGAAATTTTAAATTGGATTTTGTAAGACGAAAAATAGAATTGGCCTTTTCTCCTTTTTTCAGAAATTTTCGTTGTGATTGTGGAAACAGCAAGTTTAAAAATTTGGAATGCAAATTATTTCCTGTAAGTAAGCACTATAACTATAAATGTAGTTAGAACAGCTGAGGTTGATATTTGCCAGAGTGGGTAAAAAAACAAATACCTATATTTTCCAAAAAAGAAGTTCTTATTCTTTGCAGATGGGCATTTCATTTCTTACTTAGTTGGAAAAACTATAAACTGTCGAGAGCCTACAAGATAGATGGTAGTTAATATGAAAGGTTTGGGGGAGAGATGTACTTGAAAGTAATTCAGGTTTAATTGTATTGGTTGTGCTTGTGCTCTGAGGCTTTTAAAGCAAAGGATATGACTTAATAACAATAAATAGGCTGGGCCTGGTGGCTTACACCTGTAATCCCAGCACTTTGGAAGGCCAAGGCAGGCAGATCCCTTGAGGTCAGGAGTTCAGAACCACTCTGGCAGTCATGGTGAAACCCTGTCTCTACTAAAAATACAAAAAAATTGCTGGGCATGCTGGTACGCGCCTGTTATCCCAGCTACTCTGGAGGCTGAGATAGGAGAATCGCTTGAACCCAGGAGGTGGAGCTTACAGGGAGCTGAGATCATGCTACCGCACTCCAGCCTGGGTGACAGACCGAGACTCCCCACCACCAAAAAAAATACATAAATAAGGCTGGGGATGGTGTCTTACACCTGTAATCCCAACACTTTGGGAGGCCAAGGTGGGTGGATGGCTTGAACCCGGACCAGCTCAGGCAACATAGTGAGACCCCATCTCTATCAAAAAGAAAAAAGAAGTACTTTGAAATTTCAGGCCAATATCAGTTCACATAGGTTGATAATATTTATGATTAACTTTTATCTCCACTTTATTGAATATGTGTATTTAATTTTTCCTAATTACCACGAAAAAGTACAAAAAAATTTTATATCTTCCCTTCACCCTGAAAAAAGTATCCCTTTAGAAGTAGTGAGTTTTTTCCTCCTACTTTGAAAATTAAAGATGAGCCTCTTGGGGAAATAATGTGGAAATGTATTGAATGCATAAATTTTATAACATGTGAAATTATACTTAAAATTAGACCATATTATTATTGAAGTCAATATCATATTTCAGGACAAAGCAAAGGTAAATTCTGGCAATAAGTACAATGACAACTTTTTTGGATTATACTGCATTTGCAAGAGACCTTATCCTGATCCTGAAGATGAGGTAAGAGAATTGGGACTCAACCTCTTGTCATATGCAAGCCTCTGGCTCTTCGGGAGGGAGTGTGGGATGGTGAAAGGGTTCTAGATTTAT